TTCCACCTTCGCTCATTCCCTTCTCCAAATAATGAATCCGGACTTCTCAATGTTTCTAAGCTGCAGTCAGCCAGTTCTAGCCAGTGCCTCTACTTTTTTACAGAGAATATTTCGCCCCAAACTCATGGCGTTATTGATAGAATCCGATCAATTTTTTTGCATTTGCTAATTTAGGTGCCTTTAAAGCATTTTTTTGCTTCACGTTTTAAAAAATAATGAATTAAAATGTCCGAAAAGCACTTACTTTGCAATTCGTCCAGGGTATTCAGGACGAGTGGACGCTTCGGTTGCTCCACTGGGCCGTTTCCCCACTGGCTTCCATCTTGTTCTTCTACTTCAACAGTTGCATCAGGGCGCTTCTGCTTCCGCTTTTTCGGTTCCATAAGACCATTCATTATCATATGGGTCTTACAGAAACTTCTGTTTTCGTCCTTGCGAATCGCATTCGTGCACCTTAGGTTTGTGTCATGCCGGCCTGAATTAGAAAAAAGAACATTTCATTTTAAATCATGTCATAAAAATTGAACAATGTGCTGGCTCCAATCTGCTGGTTAAGTACTGGGAAATTTAGAATGGTACTAAGTTGCTGATGAAAATAACGAAGTTAAGCTGTTTTTATAGGTTAAAGCAAAACGGGGTAGGACGTTTCTTACGATCACATGTGGTAATCGACGAAGCTCACATTATAAACGGAACTGAACGGAGAATAAACGGAACAATAAACGGAACTGAACGGAGAATTTCGTAAAAACCAATTGCTGTTCATTATAAATCCCCCAATATTCTTCTGTCCTTTTCCAGTGCATATGTACCATTTTGCCACGACGAACTTGCCAATATATCCTTCAACCCTTTTACAGTGTCATATTAATCACCTTCCCATCCTTTTCAGATTACGATGCTCGGTCTTTCGCCTCTTTTTTTATACACTCCGAAGATGTCTTGCACGAAATTTTATCGATTTCTTGCAAAACATGGCTTGTGAATTTGTCCTTCAATATCGACTTACAGTAGTAAACATATCGAGAGATTCAAGCCATTCCGTGGTGCTATTCGTCAAACACCTGCGCCGTACAACAGCAAATTGAGCGGCACTGGGCCCCAAAAAAAGACAAAAAAAAATAAGGGAAATATCAAGCTCACTTTTTGGCTTGCGTGCATGTTGGCACTGGATATACGGTGCTGTTGGGTCCAGCAATATATGGCGGATACAGTACCGGTATTCTATTATGGCACGCTGTCGGCACTGCAATTTTTTTTTTGTTTTAAACGCTTAAAAATTCTAATTGATAAGCTATTTTATTGTGGTCTAACAGCGGCAACATTAAAGATTATGGCCAGAAATGTATACGACTTAATGGACCGAAACATTTCTTACCGCTAAAATAATTTTATCTACAAACTTTTTAATTCTCATCTCTTATTTTCCTTTCTGTTCATCTTTTTTCATCCGTTTTTAATATATCTTTTTAATATAAGGTGATACCACTTAACATATCATATCAAGGGCATGTCGAGAAAACAGGCATGTTGACCAAAGTGGGTAGTATTAAGCAGTGGGTAGTATTAAGTGTGTTACTGTATTTGTCAAACTACGACGCCAGGAAAAAATCTGGGTTGTTAGGACTAAAATCTTGCTAAATACTTTGACCTTGGAAGAACTACTGAGCTGATTATCCCCTCAGAATGTTGTAAAACGAATGTCAGAATCATCAGCAGCTGACTACAGAGGAAGCAATATCGGTTAAGGCAACTGGAAAAATCGCCAGCCAACTGATCACTGTAAACCAATTACCACCGATATATATTGATTTATCGAGTAATTATGACAATGTATGTGTTGCATCATGACTCCCTCCTAGGTAGGTGGTGTAATGGCGCAAAAGCGGCTTATATAAGGCCGCCATGTCTATATTGTAAAGTAGTGCCGATCCAGTGGAGTGTCAATTCAGTATAGCGCTGTGGTATTGTGGACGACTTACGAGGGATTGGACCCTGCTGCTACCCCAAGTAATCGCCGAGGAGCCAACGACCCGACTCGATACACCGGAATACCGGGCCAATCGAAGGAACGCCCGGACCAGTAAACCCAACATATGGCTCAAAGCAAAACATTTAAGAAAACAGACTATCCCGCGTATAAGATTAAGTCAATCGCTACGGAGATAAAAACATTATTGTATATCCTGAGAAACTATAGTACTGCTAAATATCCAATGTGAACTCTACGGAGCAAAACAGTTCAAAAAATCATCTATATTTCGGAGTTAATTTAAACCTAATGGACCGAAGCATTTCTTATCAATTATGATATTTTACTTCAGTTGATTTCATCATATTATTTCCGCTTGCCTTCTTTTTTCAACTTCAGAATATTTTCCTATATTTAATAAATTCTAAAGCGAAAATTACAAGGATTTTTGAAGAAACTGGTACTTACTTGTCCTTTTTCTGGGTCGCTGAATTCGCAAAAACGGGATGACGCGCCTGATCTGTCCTTCCGTGGCGCAGCAGCTGAGGGTGCAGTCGTTGCTACACTGGCTCCTGAAGCCGTAGCAGCAAACGATGACGTGGACGGACGAAAGCATTCGTCCAGCACCCCGTATTCTGTGGACGCGTATGAGGAGCTCGAGGGCCGTTTCATCGAGGAGGTACTTTCTGTTGACGAATCCATTCCAGACACTTCCAGTGGAGTTGCTGCTAACTCGTTCGGGTTGCTTTCTGCAAAAATAAAGACCTGTATTAAACTAAAAATACTTAAAAATCCCTGCAAAAACAAAAGCGCACCGACCGCCGGTGCGAAGATGCGTTTTTTGCATAGTTTCCAGCAGGTTTTTGTCGCTAAGAGTATCGGTTTTTCCTGTAAATGCCTCTAGCTAAGAAAATTGAGATTGGTCAAAAAATCCTTTTAAAATTCAGCTTTCTAGCTTTCCTGTTCACCGAGTTAGCAACTTATCCGCAAAAAACTTTCATGGGCCCGTACATGGGAACCATACATACCCGTAGACTGGGTGTGAATTCATTAAGACCTACGTGGACGTGGGACATCCCCTTAAAATTCCAGCCTTTCAGCTTCCCAGGTTTCCGAGACTACCAGATTATCAGATTACCAGGCTACTAGATTAACAGGTTACCAGATTAACAGGTTACCAAATTACCAGGTTCCCAAGTTCCTGAGGTTACCCGAAAATTTTAGCGGGCCCGTACACAGGCACTACTGCGCAAACACCAGGGCTACGCTTGAACTCATTAATACTTACTTGGACAGGGAAGATCCCCTTTAAATTCCAGTCTTCTAGCTTTTCAGGTTCCCGAGCCAACAACTTACCCAAAAAAAATTTTGGCGGACGCGTACGTGGGTACTATGTGGGTAAGAGTGCCCGTTTTGGAGATGGGGCCCTTACACACATGCAGAGTAAGTTCCCATAATTTCAGCCCTGTAGCATTTGTGGGTCTCAAGATGAAAAATCGGTACAGACGCTCAGCACACATACAGACACGCACACAGACAACTTCTTATCAATATGCGCTTTCTGCACTGTACAGATGCAAAAAAACGCATAAAAACAAATACCCACATAAAATCCCATCTCCATCAAACCAAAAAAATGCGAGGAAAAATAAAAGAAAGGTTGTATTTGCTGGGAGGCGTGGCGCAGTGGGAAAATCTACTAATAAGAGGTCACGCCTATCGATACCTGAGTTTTCCTAATGTCTGAATCGAAAAAGGCAATTACTAAAATTTGGCCCAGTTCCACCGCATATACAGTAATATGGACCCATTTTTGAGTCCGGATTACAATAAAAACCGTGGTAGCGATCCTATTTTTCTTCGGGATAAGGCTAAAAGTGGTTAAAAGGAGAAATAGTCAGCGATGAAAATATGAAAATGAAGACCCTGGCGTGACTTTTTATGCTGGAATTTTCCGGAGGCAAGTCCCTCCCATCGATCCTGAGCTACAGATACCAGGCCAAGTCACTCCCACATCGATCTTGAACTCCAAATACGGGGCTAAGTCGCTCCCACACCGATCTTGAACTCCATCCTGAGCTTCATAACCACAGTACGCCCAAATAGACAAATCGGGAATTACTAAAAATCGGCCCGGTTCTACCGTGCATACGAAATTACTCATTTCTGAGCTATGAAAACTACGGTATCGATTTTTCTTTTTTTTTTTTTAAAAAAATAAGGTTTTAAATGACGGTCAAAGAAGAACGAAGAAGTTTTTAGAAGAAACAAGAAAATGCAATAAAAAAAACCCTAGGATTTTCGGGAGGGATTTACACAGGGGAAATTAATGGAGGGAAAGGAAAAGGTAGTTAATAAATGAGAGCGTTGTTAATATGGAATCATTTAGAATATGGTGAAAGTGTTAGAAAATAGTGGGTTGAAGTGTTAAGGATAAGTGAGAGGCGAGAATCAGGTCGAATTGTAGGGTTACATTATATAATAAATAAAAAAAAAAATCACCTTTGCGATTTTCGGTGGAACCAGGCGGCTTATTCTCCGGGCATTGCATGTTTTTTTCTGTGCAAGTCTGTGATTTTGGCTGCGATTCGAGCTGAATTGGTGAGCATGCTGTGTCGCAAAATGGGCTCGAATCCACCGTGGAACTGCATACTTCATTCACCTGTTCACGCATTTCGTTCTGTTTCTGGAAATCACCGTTGTTCTCAAAGTCTGGACTAAAGAATTTAAGAAGACACAAAAAAAAAAAAAAACGATAAATTTGTTTTTGGGGAAAAAACCCGCACCGCACCTTATTTTTGGCAAAAAACACATTTTGAAATAGGCAAAAAGATGGGCATAACCTAGCCGGTAAAGGAATTCCCAGTGTGAAGAATGCGCCATGAGTCGAAAACACAATGCAGAGGAAAGAACCGGCTAAGACATTTGTCATGTGCTGAATCAAAAAAACCCCGAGTTTCGATACTCTGAAGAGAAAAAAAAACCAAAAAGAGGAACGAGGCTGGTGAAGGTGAAGCAGCACAGAAGCAGCTATTTCGGGTTTTCAAGTCCCGAAGCACTTGGCAAAACGGCTTAAAAAGCTGACCTGACCTGCCCATTGAAATGCTTAAAAAAAGTCAAAAACCAACCCCATTTTCCACCTTCCTCCCTGACCTGTCCCCTTGCATGTGCCCATTATGAAAGGCAAAGACAGATATAAGTATTGTGGGAGTAACAAGTACCAACTTCTACTGGTATGTTTTATAAAACTAATTTAAATTCAATTTATACCAATTACAGTTACCCACAATCGTCGTACTGAGGAGGCCCAAGTGTGGTAATGGTAAGAAATGTATACGACTTAATGGACCAAAAAATTTCTTACCACTGCAATAATTTTATTAAAATAATTTTCCCAGCTTATTTAAATCGTTGTTAATATACCTTTCCACTGCTCAGACGCAAGCTGATGATGCTAGGCTTTTAATAAGTCAGAATAAAAATGAGTAACAAATTTTCTGTTTCTTAGAATTTTTCGTGAAAAAAGTCAAGATAATCACCCAAAAACTCACCATGAATGATGTGCTTGAGCTCTCCACTGAGCTATCACAGGCTACCGGTGACTGTATGGTAGTAGTGTTAGTAGTCGTAGAAGTACGAGCCGAAGACTCGGCCACTGACGAAAACTGATTTCTGTGATATGACCATCCACCGCAGCCCGCGGGCATCGATTGTGATTGCGGTGATGAACCGCTCAGATCAGTGCTCTCCAGGGGCACAACACCACCCGAGAATGCGAGATGCGAGGAGACGGCTTGTTCTACCGCTTTCGAGATATTCGTTGCAGCGGCCAGTGTTTTCTGGTCAATTTTCAGGTCCAACTGCATGCTCACACCTTTGAAACTGACACTTGCCGGCACTACCGCATAGCCTGAAAGGGCACAAAATGCACTGCGCTCCTAATAGCCCAGTTTCAGCTATCTAACACTTGGCCAGTATGCCGACTTTTAAGTCGGTCCATAAAATGCACCCGAAGCTGCTAGAAACAATATTTACCTTTTAGACAAGGCGCACATAACTGTCAACTTCTTCCAAGTCAACACTCTTTCCAATGTGAAATATGTCAGCGGATATATCCGTATTTTGCAATACTTTGCGTTAATTTTCAGACCCACTTCCTTACTTCATGCATTAAGCTTCTGCAGCTGTCTCACTCTATCTCGAGTGAGCTGCTCAAGGTGACAATTATACGGGCAGTTCATGGCCCAATGGGTGCTTCAGCAGCCCATTCAGTGTGAAAGCATGATGCTTTTAAGCTGTAATTACTTCGGAATCCAGCTTGCTGTCCTGGCTACTCGTGGAGAAGCACTCCTCGTTGTCCAGTGATAATCCTTGTGAGTAGTTTATACATAAAAGAATGTTCATGGTTTCTTATTGAAAATGTTCTGTTAGTTGCTTTGTGATAATTTGCGTGAATAAATCATAAATATGAGAGTAAGCAAAAAGAATAATTTTTCGGGTCTTCTTTATCGTTCCGATAATTTCAAAAATATCTGAAAATATCAAAGCTGTAAAAAAAAAAAACCTAACAATCGTAAATATTTGATGTGCTATGAACATATGTTCCTATATAAACATTAATGTATTTTTTGTCTGAAAGTACCGCTGCTATAGGGCAAAAAGTCGAGGGTTCGATTCCGCCAGTAAGACAACTGGTCAATCTATGGTAAGAATAGCAGAGATTATTATCGTTGTTATTATTGTTGCTATTATCGTCGTTATTATTATTATCACTAGTATTACTACTGTCATTTTTATCTTGGTTTTTATTACGATAATTAATACTTTATCCTTACTTTTAACTTTATGTGTAAATGCAAAAAAAAATATATCTGTCCTGTTTGATGGAAAACTTATCGTGTTGCACCACAGCGTAGAAAAGTCAACGTAGATACTGAACATACAAAAAAACTATGCAAAAAACGCATCTTCGCACCGATTGCCAGTATGAAGATGCGTTAGTTCCCCACAGATTTCTGTCGCTAACGGCACTGTTTTTTTTTCGGTTGCTGCTTCTAACTAAGAGAATTGAGATTGGCCGCCAGGACTATCAGAAAAAATCCCCTTAAAATTTCAGTTTTTTATCTTCTTTGGTTCCCGAGTTAGCAACTTGCTCGTCAAAATTTTCACTGTCCCGTACGTGAGAACCATGCATAAATAGGGGCAGCGGTTGAAGACCGGGAACATCCTCTCAAAATTTCATTCTTCTAGCTTCGTTGGTTTCATTCTTCTAGCGATTTACCCGCAAAAAATCCTTCACTAGCCTATACTTTGGAAAAAAGCAAATCTCGGAGCTGAGTTTGAACTAATCAAGTCCCAGTTGAACGGTGAACATTCCCTCAAAATTTCAGCCTTCTAGCTTTTACAGTCCCTCGACAATATGTGTTTTTGCATTGCACAGATGCAAAAAGCACGCAAAAAAGAAACCTCTCTCTTCGTACTGGGTGCAGTTTGTTATGCGTGTTTGAAAAGTTTCCAAATCGTATTCATTTTGTTGCTGCTGCTGCAGCTGCGGCTGCAGTTGCTGTTGTGGTTGCTGCTGCTGCTGCTTCTGTTGCTGCTGTTGCGATTGCTGTTTTTGTTGCTCTTGTTGCAGTTGTTCCGGCTCTTTGCAGATGGTATCCGGTGAAACGGTTTGCTGCTGTTGCTCATCAGCCATTACCACTCCCGGACAGGCGATTTGGACCAGTTAATACAGTGTAAAAATTCCGAATACAGTAGTAAAATACAAAATGTTA